TTTATTTATTAGGTACACCAACAAAGTCACATACATAATACAGTTCATACATTTTAACATGGTTTAACACATGATACGTATATGACCTCAATTACAGGTATACACAGCATTTCTTTTTGCAATGTTAGGGTAATTATACACTAGTAAAAACAAAAAAATTAATAGGCTAATTTCCTAAAAAATTTTTTAGTCCGTCATGTTTAATATCAAAAAATATTGGACACATATATTTTTATTTGTCAATCTAACAAATAATTACATAGTTATGGTGCGTTGAAGTTCCGCACGACGTCACAACGTGCGGCACTTTTATGCAAGCATTGACGTCACGGGCCTCTTCTTATGAACTTTGGCGCGCTTTAACTATTTAAATTTTCATTAGTTTGAAAAAGTGAAAAATACGTGTAGAGTATTTTTTGATAAGTTAACTGACGGACTAATTAAAACTCTTGCTTTTTGACCCAGGAAACATCCCTATTTAGACAATCGATATTGTTTTACACGTTATCACGATTTTGAGTAAAAGTTTTGTAATTCCAATTATCAAAACGCACACTTGTACCTAATCTACTTTGCCAGTCTTTTGCTTTCACTTTTTGTTAGTCAAACATAACTACGCTATTATAACTTCAAAATATGATTTACTAAAAAAAATTTCAAAATCCTTTGTAAAGTTCCATACAACTTGATGTGGTACAATTTAGCCGACTAGGTGATAGTGCTTTTAAAAAATCGGTAAAAAATATAGCTTATAAATACCGAAAAATGTTTCAAATAATTGTAATCCACACTAATTTACGCTTTTAAATAATATATTAGAAACACCCTGTGATTAAATTTAACAAAATTACAAACTAAACATGCATTGTCAAAAGTTACTTGAAAACAATGAAAAAATACTTTTCAAAATAAAACACACGTGTTCGTTGTCACGGAAAAAACCACATGGCCGATATTAATTGAATTTAGTTGTGTATTGCTGAGTGTTGCAATTACAGACATTCAATAAATACTTTACGAAATATGAGGGTGGTACAATTTACCCGGCGGTACAATATACCGAACTCTCCCCTATTATGTGACAAACATACATAAAACCACTATTTTTAGTCCTTCTATACTTACTAAGTTCCAACAAAAGTACCAGGGCGCCATAATACGCAAGGAATGCAGAAGAAACTACCTCCACAAAGAATACATGCTAATGAAAAGTACCAGGAGGCGATAATACGCATGGAGTTAGCTGCTCCACGAATTGAAACCAAACGTTTTCTTGTGATCTTGAGCCTTACACGCTTGTGATAAGGCTCACCTTTTGTCAAATAAACACTCCTCGAGCGTCCTTAGTAAGTCAAGCAAAATTGACCCTTATCCCATCCAACCAGCTATAGCAAACAGACCTTTACAGTAGAATGATAGCCTCCTCTTTTTTGGAGTCGGTTAAAAATGATGTTAAAACTCATTTTTGTAACCCATATCTTTGTAAAAGTACCAGGGCGCCATAATACGCACGGAGTTAGCCGCTCCACGAATTCAGAAGAAAACAGGAGGAACCTTATTAGCTTGTGATAAGGTTCATCGTTTGTCACGTAAGTCTAGAGCGTCCTTTGAAAGTCGAGCAAAATTGACCCTTATCCCCTCGAACCAGCTATAGAAAACAGATCTTTACTACTTGGACATAAGGATCATTCTCACCTGCACAGGCGTGGCGAGCAGGAACATGATGAGGTTCTCCAGACTGAGGCCCGGCAGCACCGCGATGTGCCCGTGCTCCATGTGCGCCATGAAGTAAGCCATGGACACCATGCAGGGCCCGCCGAATAGTAGGGATATTAGGAACGCCGTCCGCCATCTTTTTATTTCTTCTCTGTGGAGAGAGATGGAAAGTTTTTAATATGGCAAATTATAAATATGAAATCAGAGTTATCAGACTTAAGCATCCTGGGTTCACTTCTCAGTTAGGGTCATCAAATTAAATATTTGAAGTTAGGTACCTAAATAGTAGCAAAAAGGTAGTGCGCTCTAGTATTTTCTAGACATAAAATAGAGGGTTCAGGAGTTCTGACGCCTAATACACGAGGTATATCTTGCCCCTAGGAGTGTAGGATTACTTACTTGTGCTCCAAGTACTTTATCTTGCTCCACTGTGTATTGTATTTTGCCCCACTGTGTACTGTATCTTGCCCCTGAGTATTTAAGACACTTACTTGTGCACTAGGTATTTGGTAGTACCCCTTTCCCTTGCCCCTATGGGCCTATCTGCTCCACTGTGCATTGTATATTGCCCCACTATGCACTGTATTTTGCCCCTAAAATGTAAGAGCTACTTACTTGTGCTCCAAGTAGTGTGTGGTGCCCCTATCCATAGGGCCGACGACCGACGCTTCGAAGCCGAGGGAATTAATCGCGTCGCATATACTCCGGGGGCCTATCTGCTCCGCTGTGTACTGTGTCTTGCCCCATTTTGTAGTGTATCTTGCCTCTACTGTGTATTGTATCTTTCCCCTCTGTGTATTGTATCTTGCCCCCACTGTGTATTGTATCTTGCCCCACTCTGTATTGTATTTTGCCCCTAAGTATGTAATACGCTTACTTGTGCTCCAAGTACTTTTAACCTGCCCCATTGTGTACTGTATTTTAGCCCACTGTGTATTGTATCTTGCCCCTGAGTATGTAAAACACTTACTTGTGCTCCAAGTAATAGGTCTGCTCTACTATGCACTGTATCTTTCCCCTCTGTATATTGTATCTTGCCCCACTGTGATTGTATCTAGCTCCTGGGGGTGTAGGATTACTTGTGCTCCAAGTACTTTTAACTTGCTCCACTGTGCATTGTATCTTGCCCCACTGCATATTGCATCTTGCCCCACTGTGTATTGTATCTTGCCCCTGAGTATGTAAAACACTTACTTGTGCTCCAAGTAATAGGTCTGCTCTACTATGCACTGTATCTTTCCCCTCTGTATATTGTATCTTGCCCCACTGTGTATTGTATCTTGCCCCAATGCGCATTGTATCTTGCCCTACTGTGATTGTATCTAGCCCCTGGGGATGTAGTATCACTTACTTGTGCTCCAAGTACTTTTAACTTGCCCCACTGTGTACTTTGTCTTGCCCCACTGCGTATTGTATCTTGCCTCACTCTGTATTGTATCTTGCCATACTGTATATTGTATCTTGCCCAACTGTGTACTGTATATTGCCCCACTTTGCACTGTATTTTGCCCCTAAGTATGTAAGACACTTACTTGTGCTCCAAGTAATAGATCGGCTCTGCTATGTACTTTATCTTGCTCCACTATGTACTGTATCGTGCCCCACTTTGCACTGTATTTTGCCCCTAAAATGTAAGGCACTTACTTGTGCTCCAAGTAGTGTGTGGTGCCCCTATCCCTCGGCCCGACGACCGAAGCCTCGAAGCCGAGGGAGTTGATCGCGTCGCATATACTCCGCGGGCCTATCTGCTGCGCCATGTATTTTATTTTGCCCCACTGTGTACTGTATCTTGCCCCTGAGTATGTAAGACACGTGTGTTCCAAATGATTTATAAGATACGTACTTGTGCTTCAAGTACTTTATCTTGCCCCACTGTATATTGTATTTTAGCCCACTGTGTATTGTATCTTGCCCCAATGCACATTGTATCTTGCCCCACTGTGATTGTATCTAGCCCCTGGGGGTGTAGGATTACTTACTTGTGCTCCAAGTACTTTTAACTTGCTCCACTGTGCATTGTATCTTGCCCCACTGTGTATTGCATCTTGCCCCACTGTGTTTTGTATCTTGCCACACTGTATATTGTATCTTGCCCAACTGTGTACTGTATATTGCCCCACTTTGCACTGTATTTTGCCCCTAAGTATGTAAGACACTTACTTGTGCTCCAAGTAAAAGATCGGCTCTGCTATGTACTTTATCTTGCTCCACTATGTACTGTATCGTGCCCCACTATGCACTGTATCTTGCCCCTAAGTAATACACTTACTTGTGCTCCAAGTAGTGTGTGGTGCCCCTATCCCTAGGCCCGACGACCGAAGCCTCGAAGCCGAGGGAGTTGATTGCGTCGCATATACTCCGGGGGCCTATCTGCTCCGCCATGTATTTTATTTTGCCCCACTCTGTATTGTACCCTTGGGGCTGTAAGACTAGTTACTTTTGCTCCAAGTACTTTATCTTGCCCCACTGGGTATTACTTACTTGTGTTCTAAGTACATTATCTTGCCCCACTGTGCACTGTATCTTGCCCCTAAGTAATACACTTACTTGTGCTCCAAGTAGTAAGTGAAGCAGCAAATAGAACGCACAACGTTGAAAAAGCTCTGTGATTGGTTCGTGTCACCCTGTGCGTTACGCGCACTGTGAGACCTCATAGTAATGTTTGTGAATACGGGCGTCAATTGTCGTTTATACTGTCAAGATGTTCCTAAATTCATTCACTCATCACGTATGACAGTATTTCATTCAATCATTAATTAACTCACGAATGCATCTTACTTAGTGACAATCAATCATGTCGAGAGCATGTCTCTATTTTGACCCTCCCATTCACTATCATAAAATTAATTAATTGCGTTCATTCATTCATTCATCCATAAGAACTTACTTGGAAGTTGTGAGCGCGACTGCACAAGAAACCACGCCGGGCAATTTGAGCACAGTCTTCTCTATTTTGTTGACACACGACGCGCACGTCATGCCTTTGATCTGTGAAAGAAAGATAAATAAATGCATAGATAGGTAGGTGAAAAAACAGATATGAAACGCAGTTGAAACGGCAGTTAGAGGTAAGATAGCTAGTTCCTCTGTGGTTGAGGATACCGGGTGAAGCTCGCTTCCACCTTCGGCCTGATCGTCATTTACCATCAGGTGAGATACAGGCCAAGAGCTTCCCCGTTGGGGATAAAAAAAACAGATATGAAATGCAAATGAAACGCAGCTTAAACGTGGTTGAAACGCAGCTGAAACGCAATTGAAACTCACCAGAACCTGCATCTCCTTCTACCCGCTGCCGTCGCAGTCGGCTCGCACCTCGGCCGGGAAGCCTAGTCCCGTGACCGACCGGGCTTCGTCTGCCGCCGATATCTTTGCCGGCTCGTACTTGACTTCTGCCTTGAAACGCAGTTGAAACGCAACTGAAACGATGCTGGAACGCAACTGAAACTCACCAGAACCTGCATCTCCTTCTGCCCGCTGCCGTCGCAGTCCGCTCGCACTTCAGCCGGGAATCCAAGTTCGGTGACGGACCGAGCCACGTCTGCCGCCGATATCTTTGCCGGCTCGTACTTGACTTCTGCTTTAGCTGCTAGAAGGGCTATTACTATTGAGTGGACGCCTGGAAACAATGGAAATAGATATTGATTACCACGTGCACCATAGGATAGGAATAATAAGTATTAAATAAGTATAATAATAATAAATACAGATTAAAAATAAATTTGATAATTAATAATCATAGAATAATTAATGCAATAAATCTAAAAATCTTCCTCTCTCCTAAAATGCAGTGCCCCACAGGGTCCATAATTGTATCTTACCTTACCAATAACACCTTTTGTAAACATTATGGAAGCAATAAACTATTGAGTATTGATTGATAAAATATACATACGATACTTCGAACATTTATACGGAACCTAAGTGGTGAAGACTATAAGGCCAGTTTGCTAAAACAATCTTAATCCAAAAAATCCAAATCCGTGAAATATCAATCTGTTTTCGATCAAATATCCATAATTGTAGATGAGTTTACACTTTAATATTGTATAGATGGTCTTATGAACAATATGAAAATGTAATAAAAACATCGACAAACGTGGATATTTTGACATAAATCAGATCAAAATTTATTTGGATTGGGAATTTGGGATTGATTAACTCGGCGATAGTCAACTATGCTTCTATTATAAAGAGAAGTTTTAATAGTTTAACTCGGCGTCGTCTCATCATAATATCTGAAACTACAAAATCAATCGATTGGTTATGGTTTCAAATTTGTCGGCCGTTTGGTGTAGTGGTTCGAAACGGACTACTATTCCGGAGGTTGCGGGTTCGATTCCCACACAGTACAAACATTTGTGTGCATGAACATATTTGTTTGTATTGGACTGGGTGTTTTCTATGTATAATATGTATGTATTTACAAAAAAAAAAAAAAAAGTATTTAAGTATGTTTATATCCGTTGTCTAGTACCCATAGTACAAGCTTTGCTTAGTTTGGGACTAGAAGCGCAGTGTAAAATGTCCAAGGATATTTATTTATTTATTTATTTAAATTAGACTCGTCAGTCTTAGTAAGAAGACGCCAATATTGCTACACTCACCATACAGCTTGGAACAGCTCTTCTCTATAGCAGCGACGCAGGAGGCGCACGTCATGCCTTTCACTTCCAGCGTACAGCAAGACAGTTCAACTGGCTCTGTCTGTCTGTCTGCCATGGGCGACGCTGTGCCCTGGCAACATTAATAATATTATAACAAAACCGCATAATATATTTGTCACCAACGCTTACTCTTTCCGTGGGTGTCGTAAGAGGCGACTTATGCCCCTTTTCACCATCAATCCCTTATTTTTAAGTGAGCACTGTGAAAACAAAATTCCTGTAATGTGTTACCATAGGGGTCACTTAAAAATTAGGGATTGATGGTGAAAACGGGCATTAGGGACACATCAAACAGGGAACGGGCAGCAACGCTCTCTGAAGAAAAACATCAATCTTTTAAACTGCGATCTCCAACCCGCCTGCCAAGCGTGGGGGTTATGGCAAAACCCTCCACTATAGTGGAGGAGGCTCATAGTCCAGCAGTGGACTGTAAAGGGCTGTGATGATGAACAAAACCGCATCAAAATAGGTCCATTAAGGCTGAGTTGCACCACCTGACTTTGACCGTAACTATAACGATAACCGGTGTATTTTGTATGGAGTTTGACAGATTTTTGACGTTTGTCGCAATTCAAGTATGATGGTACAACCCAGCCTAAGAAAGCTAAGAATCAAACAAACGTCAGGGGATATAGTTATCCAACATGGAACCATCCCATCTACAACATGGACACGTGGCGCTACTATTAATACTGATTTATTAGTTCCGAGATTTGCCACGGTTGGACAACCAAATAATTATGTCATTTACAGAAGGGCGCTACAATCAATGCTGAGTATAGATGACCCACGCTGAACTGTCCCACCAAACTCAATGACAGGGGGGCGCTACCATCGTTCAACTATATGATTTCCAACATGGCAAAAATCGGAACCAGCGATTCGGTATTGACGGTGGCGCCCTACTGTCAATGTCATGGATAGGACAGTTCAGTATTTTGGAACTATAGTTTTAATTTTGGCCACTTGACGTTTCAGAATAGTTTGACATAAAAGTAATTCTGTTCTAAATAGCGCCATCTAGCCCCAAAATTAGTAAAACTTGTACAATGGGGTACATATTCAAAGTTCTAAATAATGAAATGATTAATTTGTAAAAACAACATTAGTACCATAGTAATAAAATGACCCAGATAGAAAAATGTTTTCCAATGGGCACCACGTTTTGAAATGTAATTGGAATGAAACTAGTGTATCTTCAGCTAATAGTCTGGTCTGTGAGCACGTAGAATTTTGTCCAATGACCCCAAGCTACCCATCCTTGTCGCTCGCGCGTAATTATGTTGCTGTCGCGCTCGCACACTCACTGCGGGCGCCCGTCGTACAGTCGCGACAGCAATATAATTACGCGCGAGCGATAAGGATGGGTAGCTTGGGGTCATTGGACACAATTTTACGTGCTCACAGACCGGGCTTTAGATAGTCAAACAAATGTTTTCCAAGGAACGCCACGTTTTTGAATGCAATTGGAATGGAACTAGTGTATCTTCTGCTAGATGATGATGATGATGATTCAAATTCAAATTCAAATTCTTTATTGCTCCAATGTTGACTTACGTTTGCGTGTGTTTTGCTTTTAACAGGTGTTGGTGGTTTGGCACTATCACCAGATCCTTCTTGGGAGTTGTTCTGAGAATTTGTTTCTGAAACAAAACATAATTTTAATTACAATTTTAATCTTTAAATGCCATGTTAGTATTTCCAATACGCAACAAGACACACTCACGCCCGTATTCACAAACATTACTATGAGGTCTCACAGTGCGCGTGAACGCACAGGGTGACACAAGAACCAATCACAGAGCTCTATTCAACGATGTGCGTTCGACTTGCTGCTTCACTTAAACAAGCATTTGAAAATACGGGCGTTATATTGATGATGACGAAAAATACGACGAAGACGAAGTTGATGATGATTATGCCATAGCCAATGATGCTAACGTAAAATTCACTCGATGATGACGATGAGGATGGTAATGATGACTCACTATTGCCAATGATGCAATCTTCAAATTGACCTGATGATGATTATGATGAAGACTCATCTTTGATGCTGACGACTCATCTTTGATGCTGACGATTCACCATTGATGCTGACGACTTTCCGTGCTTTTAAGCGGGACAAACTTGACCTTCACTGGTTGGGTTATTGGCGGTCAAGCTGTAGATCCCGGCTACACAGGAGTTGCAGCGGTGGGGACGAGAGGTGGGAACGGTCCCGTTTTTTGATGCTGACGACTGACCATTGATACCGACGACTGACCATTGATGCTGACGACTGACCATTGATGCTGACGACTCACCATTGATGCTGACGACTGACCATTGATGCTGACGACTGACCATTGATGCTGACGACTCACCATTAATGCTGACGACTCACCATTAATGCTGACGACTGACCATTGATGCTGACGACTGACCATTGATGCTGACGACTCACCATTAATGCTGACGACTGACCATTGATGCNTTTTCAAATTGATTCCTTCAACGAATCGCGAGCACATATTACCTTTTGAAACTATGTTACAGAATAATCTCAAGTTAGAGAAAATAATCTTTAACTGTTCGTCAGTAAAGTTCAAAATTATTCAGATCAAAGTTGTTTGACGATTTATCTTGTCAAGAAGATTATTATGATTGAGAAACTAAAACCTTCTTGTTGGTTCAACCTGCCATTATTATTTCTATTAAATAAAAAAAAACTATTGTCAATTGGTCAATGTCATCATTGCATTGCACTGTGATGCAAAACCTTATTTGTTAGCAAACGTCATATTTATTTCAATGTTAGCAGCACTGTTTCTTGCACTGTTATGTTGGCAGGTTTGACGCTTACAGTACCTAGTGCAAGCGAAAACCGACACTAAGGTGACGAACCTTTTCATTCTGCGACTGTACATTCAGCCTGATCATCACTTTCATTCAGGTGAAATGCAGGCCAAGAGCTTCCTCGTTCAAATGAAATCAAATAGTTTATGCAGTACATAGGCCCTCTCCACTTATACACGTCCCAAATATAGCTTGCCCTACCACCACTTCGGGACAACATATAGGCTGGTGCTGCGAAGAAGTGGCGGAAGAAACTCAGTTGAGGATAATACACTATTTTGAACTTTACTAGCTGGTGTTAAGGGTGTACTAACCTTCGATGGTGTTGACGCACGACTGGCAAGTCATGCCGGTGACGTGTAGCACCACTTCGCTCTCTTCGCTTGACGTCCCCATGTCTATCAGAAGATCGGTGGGTATTGGCTTTGGTAGGAGACTTCTGTGGGGAGAGAAAGAATGTATTAGAGATGAAGAGGTTGTAAACAGATGAACAACAAAGTGATACTATAAGGTTCAGACCCAGTTTTACCTTTTGAGGTACGGAACCCGAAAAATTTGGTGAAACCTTTTTCAATAAAAGCCTTATCTAGACTTGTGCGCCAATAAACAGCGATGTGGTATTACTAAAGTAGAATAGGGTACCCCCTTTCTTCTCGTGGATGTCGTTAGAGGCGACGAAGGGACAAATATGTGAACATCAGGCCTCCCCAACCCCCAACCCATCTGGCCAGCGCACACAGGTGAAATTTCCTCAAAAGTTGGCCAAAATTACGTTAAGTGTGTTTATGCCTATATATTGCTGTAGCCTGTCTAAAATAATAGTTTAAAGGTGATTTAAAAAGAAAAACTAACAAATGTTTTCATTGATGTATTTAGTCTTACTAATAATTTGTTAAAAATTTGATACCCAATGGCGCTACAAAAAATGAAATAGACTTTATCTTGTCGACGAAGAAGCATATATTCAATGATGTCTCTGTGATCAATTCGGTCAAAACAGGAAGCGATCACCGAATGGTAAGAGGCACATTGAATATCAGACCCAAGCTCGAGAGATGTCGACTGATGAAGTCTACGCTCCG